ACACACACACACACACACACACACACACACACACACACACACACAGTTACAACAGCTCACCTGTTCCTTCCATAGTGACAGGTGCAATCCCCTCATCACAAGTAGCTCCTGACTCTGCTTCTGACACTAAATCACATTTTTAAAATAGTCATGATTCTCAGCAAACACAACTCTCTTGTTTACAAAGCTTTCTGATCAATTCAGCTCAATTACGTAAATGCACTGAACCATCTCAGGAAACTTTTCATATAAAGGAGGTTTACATCACACTCTTGATCAGATTATTTAGTAATCCCACCTGCACGCTCTGTAGTTGTGGGCCCATGGCTGCTGGTGGATGGTTCGTTCTGACTCTGAGAAACTACAAGACAGTCTCCCAGTTATGTGATGTTGCATCATTTAATTTATAACGTTACATTTTTTGCCACAACCACATCATGATTTATTGACTTGATAATGAAGTTAAACGTAGTTGCAAAGTTCAACATGTTGCCATACCCGTTGCTACATCGTCTTCAAACCGCGAGCTTGTTTTGGTAAAAAATTTTTAACCAATTTTGGCACATTTTACTGCGTCTGTTTCTAAAGCTTTCCTCTTTTTAATTTGTGCTTTCTCTGCTCCACCCTTGCTCTTTCTGCCTTCCATCATTAAAACAGTAGCCTCCTGACCAAGTGCAGCAACGTCGTGTTACGCTGGGAGGAAGAAAGAAAAAAAAAAACACGGCTGCAGCCCGAAGCGGCCCGCCCCGCAGCACAGGTAGCTTTGGCAAGCCAACGTTACATATAATCAGGGTCCGTAGTGATGCCAACTAACATGTTACCGGCACTTGCGGCCCAAACATCAGGCGGCCTACCGGGAGAAGTCCAGATCCTCCCGATTAGCCACATCGGGCCAACCTTCTTTGTGAGAGCTGAGGACTTAAAAAATAAATAAATTGGGTGTTACAGTTGCAAAGGATTAGCTGAACAACAAATGATGAATAACTACATTTTCCAAGTTATCATACCTTTACATAAATGCCAGACATAAAAGTGGTCAATGTCTGGTTTATGTTCCCAGATGAACTTTTGAACCTGCATGTGTCGGTCTGTCACCAGGGAAGACACTTTGACACTAGACTTCTCCAGAAAATCAAGCCTTCTGATCAGCTCTTCCCTTTCCATATGGACACTGCTTCCTACTTCATTGCTCTGTGGATCATAAAAAAGACGTTACTTGCATTATGTGGTAATGTCAAAAATGATATGTACTTGGATACATCCTGTTAGTTTATTCTTGCATAATTTAAAAAAATTACACAGTTACAATCAAAATACTCAATTTTAAAATGAAGGAAGTAATATTTTTTAAAATAAAAAAGTTATGAATGCAATTACATCAAACAATGTGGAAAAATAAAGAACTAAAGGAAGAGTTCATCAAATTTTCTAACCAAATGTCTACTTAGTTTTTAACACTCAACGTATCTGTACAAGTTGGATATCAACAATTTTGTTTGTGTCGAGATCCATCATGGAGTATGAGCCATACTTTGCACAATGGGCGGGACTGTCAGCACGCATATCCCCACCAAGAGATACACTTTCCCTCTGTTTCATTCTCTCAATCAGGCCAGTCTGGTGCAATTGCCATTTATGCGTCACAGAAGGCAGAATGTAGTTACGCACATGATTACAATGCATCCTTCTGGAGAATGTCCTCACGTGCATTGCATTCAGCACCTGTAATGTAAAATCAGAGTACCAGAGTAATCAGAAAATCAGTCAAGGTATCTGAACAGTAACAGTTCCCACAGCATATACTTCATGTCTTTGTAGCTTTGTGAGATGCACTTGCCTGAGAAAATTAAACGTGACGTACAGTAATATTTTTTCAAGGGGGAAAAAACTGAGCTGTGGGATAAGTACACATCTGTTGCACTTTTGTACACTCTACAAAATTTGCAACTTTTTCAATAAAAGGAGGTCGTGGTTTGACAACGATGAAACAGGTAAGGCATGTAATGCTGCATTATGTAATAATGTAATAAAATCTGGCTTCAGTATGTAATAAACCCACACTAAAACCGCATTATATAATAAAAGACGCAAAATGTAATAAAAGTCTTCAACACATTTTGTAATACTAGCAGACGCATTATGTAATAACATGATTACATTTTGTGGCGATTGTTATAAAATCCGAGGCTGCAGCTTTTGAGAGACGTACCTGCGCTCTAAAACAAGTTGCTGTAACTTTGAGCTGCTTGATTGCTGACTGATCAGTTTATTAGTCATCTTTGAGTTTGAGCAGATTGTGTCCATAGACTGACAGGGCATCTTTCTTGTATGAATCATGTTTACAGTCAATGTGGCTTTACGTTCTGTTCATCTTCAGGAAAAAATAAAAAATTACTTTTACTGACATCACCCACTTCCCAGTCTGCTGCATTTTTTGACTTATAGTTTCCATTACATTCTGCATAAATCAAATCTCTTTTTCTGCCCTGTGTTAATTTATTTATTTTTAAACACAGTAATGGCGGCGCATTGTGATTGACAGCTGACGCTGCTTCTCTGCCTCATGTTTTCTCTCTTCTCTTCCCCTTCTGTTACGACCCGGCTCAAAAGCCATAACATATGTGAAGACACGACACGGTGGAATCAGTTTAAAACCTTAAAAAGGTATTTATTAAAGTTTTTGTCTAGGATTAGGTGAGTTTGTTGGCCCGGTTTGGAGCTCCGTAGCTCCCGAATGCACCGGACATCTCTCACCAAGCTGGACCCTCTGAAGTCTGTGGTCTGGTTCCCTCGACCACCGTCGTGTCCTCCGTGCACCTCTGCATTCAGCTCTGCATTCAGCTCTGTGTGCAGCACCACATTCAGCTCTGCCGGTGCAGCTTCCAGGTGTGCGCTTAAAAGGAGCACAGGCCACGCCCCCTAAGGAAGACCTGTGAGGAAGCACAATTAAGGAAACTGGTGGCAGCTGGCTGCAATTAACTAAGCAGCAGGGCCGTCACACCCCCCACCATAAAAAAAAGCAGGTTCCATCTGGAACCCTGCGCTAAAGCAAAACTAGAAGAAAAACTATTTACAACAAACAAACAAACACCATCACCCATGTGTCAATGTCACCGCAGTCCCAAACTTGTCCCATCGTCAGCCCCTGGTGCTCAGAAACTA